TACATTCGCACACACTGTATATATATTTTCTGTTGTATTTTTGACTTTATGTCTTGTTTACCCCATATGTAACTATGTGTTGTTGTTTTTATCGCACTGCTTTGCTTTATCTTGGCCAGGTCGCAGTTGTAAATGAGAACTTGTTCTCAACTGGCTTACCTGGTTAAATAAAGGTGAAATAAAAAAAATAAAAACTGGAATGGTTTTCAATTTTAACAATTCAGTTTACTATTTTTACTAAATAATATTACCACCAATCAATCAGTGATCTTTATCCACTGTAAATCAAAATGGCAACTTTGTCATTCTAATTACCTTGTTAATACATAACTTTAGAGACTCTGTTGTCTATTATAAAACATGTTGTTGTTGAATCAGGATGGCCAGATTGCTAGCCAGAATGACAAGAAACTGCCATGTGGGGAGTCATAAGTGGCTTGTTTCATCTTGTTATTGCTACCATGTCTTGTTTTGAGGTGTTTTGACTGATTTCATGTCAATGCTAATATGGCAAAAATGCGCTAGCTAGCTAACCAAAAACTGTACCTTAACAATGTATTTGAGAGACAACAAGCGCTCATTGTGCAAATTAATTTATATTTTCAATAAACATTGGAGACGAAATACAATTGACATGTTGTTTCTATAGAGATAAATAGTAATCACGTCTTTTTGTAGGCAATAACTCCGCCATGGTTCGTTGGACAAAGCCTATGAGGAAAATGTATGGGGTTTTTGGAGGGTTTTTGTATAAACACTGAAAGTAAGGTCTGTGGTAAACAGAGGCTTAGGAGATCTTATACGTTTTGTTCTATGAGATCATCTTCATCAGCTAACATCACTTTTTGTGAATTTTGAAGAATTTATGTAATAATAAAAAACACATAAATCACATAAAGACTTCATAATTCATAAAGGTCATGTTAACTGACTGCTATTATCTCATAGAATGAAACGTATAAGATCTCATAAGCCTGTGTTAAATTCAGACCTTATTTTCAGCATTTATTCCAAAACCCTATTCTTTCGCCATTCCTTTTTCCCATAGGGATGGCTGAACGAACCAGAGGGCCGTTTGGTATACCCAGTGTAGTTCTGACACAAATATAGCGTTGGTACCCAAGCCGGCTGGTCAATCATTCTAAATGTTCCGTTGCCATGATGGCTGTCAACGTTCTTATCCCTTGCTTGCTAGCTAGGCAAATTCAGCTAACACAGTCACGTCACACAGTGCAGCCAGAATAACAGCAAAGAAGCTGCATTTGCGTTTGTTTAAGCTGTTTTCTATTGATTTTTTGGGGGGGGATACATCCATAACAATGAGCTAATGACTCGATGCGTGATTTTGCCTGGCAAAGAAAATGTGCTCTCTCTCCAGACACTATTCAGAATAGCTAGCCAACTACACAGCTAACAAAATCACTTCAAACTGAAGCTGGAATGACAGCAAACTAGCTGGATTTTGTGTTCTTTTACATATATCCATAAAAATTATACTGATTCATGATTTCGACTGGCTGAGAAAAGCTGCCAGACTGTCTCATCCCGACACATTCGTTTATTACTATGGGACAGCTGGAGATCGAATTTCAAATATTAGCGTTAAAAGATTTGGCATGGGTCCTCAGATCCTCAAAAAGTTTCACAGCTGCATCATCTAGAGCATCCTGACTGGTTGCATCACTGCCTGGTATGGCAACTGCTCGGCCTCTGACTGCAAGGCACTACAGAGGGTAGTGCGTATGGCCCAGTACATCACTGGGGCCAAGCTTCCTGCCATCCAGGACCTCTATACCAGGCGGTGTCAGAGGAAGGCCCTAAAAAGTGTCAAAGACTCCAGCCACCTTAGTCATAGACTGTTCTCTATGCTACCGCACGGCAAGCAGTACCGGAGTGCCAAGTCTAGGTCCAAGAGGCTTCTTAACAGCTTCTACCCCCAAGCCATAAGACTCATGAACAGTTAATCATGGCTACCCGGACTGTTTATTATCTATGCATAGTGAATTTAACTCTACCCACATATAAACACAAAATAATCTGAAACACAACCAAAACAAACAACCAAATGTATCCAACAAATTTGTAGTGTCACAAGCTTGATGTAGTCATTTCGTGCTATGAATGTTGGACCATATACTTTTGCTCCCCTAAAATGGGGGGACTATGTACAAAAAATGCTCTAATTTCTGAACGGTTCACCCGATATGGATGAAAATACACGCAAATTCAAGTTGACAGTCTGCACTTTAACCACATAGTCGTTTTGAAGTGTTGCGCCAAAATAATAACAAATGCTTCACTGTCCCAATAATTATGGAGGGAACTGAATTCACTGCAGTATTAAGGCTAACATTGTTTATGAATTATGGGCTAATATGCATATGCTTCTAACTTAGGCTATAGGCTACATCTCGAGTCTGTCTTCATTGTTCTGTTGCTCAATTACGCACCTGTCCTCTCTGCTGCCACGGCTATTCCTTTTAAATCTTGTGGAGTCCCAGGAAAAGTCAGACTACAAAAACTTGTTGGACACTTATTTAGACTTGTTTTCTGTAGCCTATAGTAGCCTAATGGAGGAGAGATGCATGCTTGCTCTTGCTTGCTGAATGTAAAATAGGGTACAGCATTAATGGGCGGGGAGTTGGAGAAGCCCATATTTACCGATTGTAGGCCTATCTTAACACCGGGCTACATCCTGACAAAATAGGTCTACACCATATGAGTGGCCTGCTAATGTACCTTTCTGGACCTGCTAAATCTAAACTGTCGAGAATGGACCCAAACTGATCCAAATGGTTACATAATCAGGCCTAGGTTGTTGGCCTATGCAGTTATGTAGGCATGAAACAAAACAGGACGCATGAGCGGTTATTCAAATTAGCACTGCAGTTTACAACCTATGTAGAATAATTGTGTATTCACTTGATAACAATAATACATTCTTCATTGCACTGTGTTGTTGTAGCCCAGGTATAATAATTTTCTTGTCTAAAAACGTAGGCCTGATCAATAGTGGAGCTTTGCGAGCCTGAGGACCAGATAGCACAGCGTTGAGAAACGCACTACAGATCTACCATTTCATAACGTGTTCATTTATTTGACAGGTAAATATTTAGCCAACAGTCGTAATATTTAGGTAATGAATGGCCTAATATCAAGCTAATACTTAGCTTCTTACTTCGGCTACACATCACTAGCCACTCTTCCAGCTGTTCCCGTTCGCAACAGGCTATAGGCTACGCATGCCTCTCCGCAATGGGCCATTCCTATAGGCTACAAAAGCTATAGGACATTTATTTTGATAATTGTTTATACTAGGCCTAATAGCCTATTTGGGGAAAGAAGCAGGCTTGCTCTTGCTAACTGCTGAATCTAAAACAGGCCTACAGCATAGAAAATGTATGTCGGGAAAAGTTGAGGAGAGAAAATGCATTGGTGTGATCACTTTTGGCCGGTTATGATAACATTGTTGCACTGATGTATTGCAAATAGTTGCACAGGACATACACAGATGAGCACAGTCAAAAAGAAGACCTAAAGGCATTGACAACCCTTAGCAAAATGGAAATCACTTGCAAACCACTTGAGCAAGGAGGCAATGACATGCTGTAAAAGATTAGCAGGCTAAACAGCGTTTGTTGTTGAATTGCTACATTTAAATACTATATTATTTTTCATTAGGTCTACATGTAGCCTACATTGAAGTATTATTTGTACCGTAGTTGTCACTGACAATGAACATACCCTGAAAGCACTGAATGGTCTGAACCAGTATCTGTGCGTTAGAGACCTCATGAATGGTCTTGTGTTACCACCTAATTAATAGGCAGCGTGCAGTAGGATGCGTTGATCAGTTGATTGACAGGTGTAGGACTGTAGAACGATAAACTATCAATTTTCCTCTAGTATGGATGCTCACCAACGTTTTATAGTTATGTAGCCTATAGTTTATCATTATAGTTTTTGTTATAGTTATTGGATTGGATGGCCCGGGCCTTAACACAACACAACTAACGTTTTTATCACAACAGAACTAGCCTAGGCTACTAATAGGTATAGCTAACGTTACCGAACATGAAAGAAATAAATAGAAAATTACACTTATACTTGTTTACTTGACATTTATACTCTATAAATAATTTACTCTGGCAAGTTTGCCACCAGCGCGCTGCAGTAGGTAAGTCAAGCAGAAGTCGAATCCATCACTTCCGTTGTTTGGCTGTGCCCATATAGCAACGTTAGAAAATGAGGCACATATGTTCTGGTAGGCAAATTTACTCAATACAATAACGTCTTTAATGAAAACATGTCCTTAATCTTTTTTTTTTTTTATGTTGGCAACCATTTTATAAAAGCAAAATGACCCTCGAACCCGGGGATTATTGTGTGATAACTTCCTCCTAAGGGCTGTTCCTGGCACAGGTTCTCATGTTTTATTGCTGAAATAGTCAACAGTGACTTTTTTTTGTCTTTCAAACTTATATAATATTAAGTGGTACAGTATCTATATGAGTGGATGCTGTTGAGGGGAGGACGGCTCATAATAATGGCTTGAATGGAGCGAATGGAACGGCATCAAACACATGGAAACCATGTATGATGTATTTGATACCATTCCACTTATTCCGCTCTAGTCATTACCACGAGCCCGTTCTCCCCAATTAAGATGCCACCAACCTCCTGTGATCTATATGAGTAGTTAAGTAGAGCCTTCTACAGTCACAATTCAGGGTAAGAAGATTGTTTTTAATGGTTGTAAACAATGTACTGTTGTGCCATGATGTTCCTCTTGGGATATTTTATCATGCTGTTTGTTGTAATAAGCTATTACATGAAGTAATCAAGCAAAATATGATATCTCCTTAATTTCCCATAATGTCGCTACATGAGATAATTGACTCAAGATCCTTAAGTCTAAAATAACAAGGAGGGATTAGGCTGTCAGTAAATTTCTCAAAACCACAAAATGCTAAATGCTTAATTCCCCTATTCTCACAGACCATCCTCAGCTGACAGTGAGTTCTACAGTCATCAGAGAGAGAGAATCAGTTCAGCTGAGTTGTGAGACTCCTCCATCTCTCCATGTGTCTCACTGTTACTTCTACATAGAGGGGGTGAAGAATCTTCCAGACTCATCGTTTACGCAGACAATAACAGGAACTGAGCTGCTCAAGAGGGCGGGTTCAACAATTCCAGCTGTGGTCAAAGTGAAATGTTACTATATAAGGAAGTCTCACATATCTCCTTTCAGTGACCCTGTCTCTGTAACGAACCCTGCATCCTGAGTCGGTTCCTGTCTGTGTTGTCAGTTTTCTGCTCGGGATCTCCAGTTTCCCGAGGGTTCTGGAACGCTCCCTGCCTGGTTGCCGGGCGACGTTGCTAGGCGGGAGCTCTCATGATTTACCGCACCTGCATCCCATCAGCAATCTGCACACCTGGTCCTGATCATCACCCTTTTTAGGCTCTGACCTGACATCCATTCCCTGCCGGATCGTTAGCCATGAACAGTATGTTTATCAGAGTATCCGCCTTAGAGCTTCTAACGTTAGTTTTGTTGTTTTGCACCTTGTTGGCTTGTTGTGTACTTACCTCCGTTTTGTTCCATCTGCAGTCACTCGTCCGCAACCTTCACCCAACCCCTGCCTGGTGGTCGGCGGCTGCCGAGCCATTATTGGACCTACCACTGCACCCCCAACAACTCATCCACGCCGCCCGCTCTGTTCCCTGGATTATTCAGCATCACTCTTGAATCTGTTAAATAAACACTCACCTTCGTTCCAACTTACCTTGTCCTGGTCTGCTTCTGGGTTCTGGCTTTGTAACCCGTGACAGAACGATCCGGCCAGTAATGAACCCAGCGGACCTGGACTCTGTTCGCCATGCCATTACCCATCAGGAGAAGATGTTGGGACATCATAGCACGGTACTACAGGAGATAGCGTTGTCAGTTCGGAACCTTTCTACCAGTCTGACGGAGGTCCAGAACCAGCGCAAGTTTCCGGTGGAGAATCCACTACCGGTTTCACCCATCTCGTCTGCCGCTTCTGGAGCTGTGTCATTCCGTGAGCCCCAGGTTCCGACGCCGGATAAATATGAGGGGGAGCTGGGAAGATGCCGTTCTTTCCTTATGCAGTGTGGTTTAGTGTTCGATCTACAGCCCTACTCTTATGCCACAGACAAGGCTAGGATAGCCTTTGTGATTGAGTTGCTGCGTGGTCGAGCGCTGGAGTGGGCTTCAGCCGTTTGGGAACGACTGGACACCTGCATGGCTTCATACCAGGGGTTCACGGCCGAGATGAGGAAGCTATTCGACCATTCCGTCCGAGGGATGGACGCAGCTAGGCGCCTGTTTTCGCTTCGCCAAGGAACTCGCAGCGTTGCCGACTTCGTGATCGAGTTCAGGACGTTGGCTGTGGAGAGTGGGTGGAATGAGGAGTCTCTGCAAGCGGCCTTTTACCAGGGCCTGTCGGAGCAGCTCAAGGATGAGTTGATCTCCTATCCGGAGCCTAGTGACCTGGACAGCTTGGTAGCCTTGTCTATTCGGGTGGATAACCGAGTTCGAGAGCGAAGGAGGGAGAAGCAATGGGGCCCGTCCAATCGATCAGCTTCTCAGGTCCCAGTCGGGTCGGGGAGTGGACCAGAATACGTCGATCATTGTCCACCACATAGGATTAGTGGAGAGGTCCTGTTTCCCGATTCTGAACCCATGCAAGTGGGGCGGCACGGGTTAACCAAGGAGGAGCGCCAACATAGACGTAAGACCAACTGTTGCCTCTACTGTGGTAGTTCGGGACATTACATCGCCACTTGTTCCCGGCGGTCGTCAAACTGCTCGGCTCGCTAAAGTTGGGAGGACTTTTAGCGAGCCAGTTTCGACCTCTCAATACCTCTGTCAGACCCCGTTTCCCGGCTACCCTCATGAACAGGAATCAGAGCTTAGCGATTAACGCTTTTGTCGATTCAGGTGCCGATGGAAGCTTTATTGATGCCGAAGTGGTGGAACAGCTGGGGCTTTCCAAGGAGCAATTACCGGAAGCCATTGAAGCTACCACTCTGAACGGCAGTAGTCTGGCACGTATCACGATGAGGACTGAACCGGTTAAGATGCTGTTGTCGGGGAATCATTCTGAGGTGATCTCATTCTTCATTCTGCCGTCTTCCCATGTTCCTCTGGTCCTTGGATACCCCTGGCTGAAGGAACACAATCCCACGTTCGATTGGGTGACGGGCAAGGTAACGAGTTGGAGCCTTGATTGTCATGCTAACTGTCTCAAGACTGCCTGTTCCCATTCGGTTCCCAGTCAGGTGATTGAGGCTAAACCCCCAGATTTGTCCCTGGTTCCCGAGACATATCACGATTTGGGGGAAGTGTTCAGTAAGCAGAGGGCTCTGTCACTCCCTCCCCACCGACCATATGATTGTGCCATCAACCTGTTCCCTGGAGCTGTCTATCCCAAGGGACGGTTATACAGTATCTCCCGACCTGAACGTGAGGCTTTGGAGACCTACATCAAGGAGTCCCTAGCTGCTGGCCTCATTCGTCCCTCGTCATCACCCCTGGGGGCAGGATTCTTCTTTGTGGGTAAGAAGGATGGCTCTCTTCGACCGTGTATTGATTATCGGGGGTTGAATGATATCACGGTCAAGAACAAGTATCCCCTGCCCTTGATGAGCTCTGCCTTCGACTCCTTACAGGGTGCTACGGTGTTCACCAAGCTAGACCTACGCAATGCGTATCACCTGGTCCGGATCAGAGAGGGGGACGAGTGGTTGACGGGTTTCAATACACCGATGGGTCACTTCGAGTATCAGGTGATGCCGTTTGGACTGACCAATGCTCCAGCTGTATTCCAGAGTATGGTGAACGACGTCCTGAGAGATATGATCGGTCTCTTTGTGTTTGTTTACCTGGATGACATTCTGATCTTTTCGAAGGAACCTTCCAACCACGTCCAGCATGTCCGGCAGTTTCTGCAGCGATTGTTGGAGAATCGCCTGTTCGTGAAGGCCGAGAAGTGCGAGTTTCACGCCCACACGACATCCTTCCTCGGGTACATCATCTCCAGGGGAGAGATTAGGATGGACCAGGAGAAGGTTAGGGCGGTTCTGGAATGGGCCCAGCCCGGTACGAGATTGCAGCTCCAGAGGTTTTTGGGGTTTGCGAATTTCTACCGCAGATTCATCCGGGATTACAGCCGTGTGGCCGCTCCGTTAACTGCCTTGACTTCCAGTACCAGGACCTTCAATTGGAATCCGGAGGCGGATCGAGCGTTTCTGGATTTGAAGAGGCGATTCACCAACGCACCGATTCTCTCTCAACCTGACACGGCCCATCAGTTCGTCGTTGAAGTGGATGCGTCTGATGTGGGGGTTGGCGCCATCCTGTCCCAGCGATGCTCCACTGACGGTAAACTCCATCCCTGCGCCTACTACTCTCGTCGTCTTTCGCCTGCGGAGAGGAACTACGATGTGGGTAACCGGGAGCTTCTCGCGGTGAAGCTTGCCTTGGAGGAGTGGCGCCACTGGTTGGAGGGGGCGGAGCAACCGTTTATTGTCTGGACTGACCACAAGAATCTTGCTTACGTGCAATCGGCTAGACGTCTCAACTCCCGTCAGGCCAGGTGGGCGTTGTTTTTCGGACGATTCAATTTTTCCCTGACGTTCCGACCTGGATCTAAGAACGGCAAGGCGGACGCCTTGTCCCGGATGTTCTCCAAGACGGAGGAGAGTGGGGCCAAGACCGAGACGATTCTTCCCCGGAACTGTGTCGTGGGAGCAGTTATGTGGAAGATTGAGGAGGAGGTTATGGCGGCCCTTCGGACGCAGCCCGGTCCCGGTAACGGTCCACCCGGTCGGTTGTTTGTGCCTGAGTCGGTTCGTTCTGCTGTCCTCCAATGGTCCCACGCCAGCAAGATGGCTTGTCACCCTGGCGTGGCTCGGACGATGGCGTTTCTTCGCAGACGATTTTGGTGGCCTGCCATGGGAGAGGATACTCGGAGGTTTGTTGCTGCCTGTCCAGTGTGTGCGCAGAATAAGAGTGCCAATCGGCCCAGCTCTGGACTACTTCACCCCCTTCCTATTCCCCGGCGACCATGGTCGCATCTGGCCCTGGACTTTGTCACTGGGTTGCCCTCTTCTGAGGGGAACACGGTCGTTCTGACTATCGTGGACAGATTCAGCAAGTTCGCCCACTTTGTGCCCATTTCCAAGCTTCCCTCTGCCTCTGAGACGTCCGAGATCCTGGTTAGGGAGGTTTTCAGGGTCCACGGGTTGCCCAGTGACATCGTTTCCGACCGTGGTCCTCAGTTTACCTCTGCTGTCTGGAAGTCCTTCTGTTTGGCCATTGGAGCTACAGTCAGTCTCACATCTGGTTTTCACCCCCAATCTAATGGTCAGGCGGAGAGAGCCAACCAGAAGATGGAATCCACGCTACGCTGCCTTGTCTCCTCCAACCCCACCTCCTGGGTCTCTCAGTTGCCTTGGGTTGAGTATGCCCACAATACTCTCCCTACATCTGCCACTGGGATGTCTCCCTTCCAGTGCCTGTATGGCTACCAACCTCCCTTGTTTCCTTCTCAGGAGAAGGATCTCTCAGTGCCCTCGGTTCAGGCCCACATTCGTCGTTGCCACCGGACCTGGCATCGGGCCAGAAAGGCCCTCCTTAGAGTTTCTGACCGGTATCAGCTCCAGGCGAATCGTCGCCGGATTCCCGCTCCCACCTATACCATCGGAGATAGGGTCTGGTTGGCCACACGGGATCTTCCTTTACGGACTGAGTCTAGGAAGTTGTCACCGAAGTTCATTGGTCCGTTTGTGGTGGAGAAGGTGATCAATCCGGTTGCAGTTCGACTCAAGTTACCGAGAACGCTCAGAGTCCATCCCACCTTTCATGTCTCCTGCCTCAAGCCTGTTCTCCTCAGTCCTCTGTTGCCTCCTCCGCCTCCTCCTCCTCCTCCTCGGATGATCGGAGGTGGTCCTGCCTACACGGTGCGACGCATTATGGATTCCAGACGGCGGGGCCGGGGTTTCCAGTATCTCGTGGACTGGGAGGGGTATGGTCCTGAAGAGAGGAGTTGGATTCCGCGGCGACAGATCCTTGATGCTGACCTCCTTCGTGACTTCTACCGCCTCCATCCTGGCGCTCCGGGTAGTCCGCCCGGTGGCGTTCGTCGGAGGGGGGGTACTGTAACGAACCCTGCATCCTGAGTCGGTTCCTGTCTGTGTTGTCAGTTTTCTGCTCGGGATCTCCAGTTTCCCGAGGGTTCTGGAACGCTCCCTGCCTGGTTGCCGGGCGACGTTGCTAGGCGGGAGCTCTCATGATTTACCGCACCTGCATCCCATCAGCAATCTGCACACCTGGTCCTGATCATCACCCTTTTTAGGCTCTGACCTGACATCCATTCCCTGCCGGATCGTTAGCCATGAACAGTATGTTTATCAGAGTATCAGCCTTAGAGCTTCTAACGTTAGTTTTGTTGTTTTGCACCTTGTTGGCTTGTTGTGTACTTACCTCCGTTTTGTTCCATCTGCAGTCACTCGTCCGGAACCTTCACCCAACCCCTGCCTGGTGGTCGGCGGCTGCCGAGCCATTATTGGACCTACCACTGCACCCCCAACAACTCATCCACGCCGCCCGCTCTGTTCCCTGGATTATTCAGCATCACTCTTGAATCTGTTAAATAAACACTCACCTTCGTTCCAACTTACCTTGTCCTGGTCTGCTTCTGGGTTCTGGCTTTGTAACCCGTGACAGTCTCAGTCACTGTTCAGGGTAAGTAGGTGGTTTGTAAAATTATACACTTCACTGTTATACTGTATGCTCATTATGCTTGTTCAGAAAATTAGATCTTATGTCATATTTCACCAATGTCTTCATTTCACATAATAGGTCTTACTGTAGGTTTTACTGTACTATGCAAACATGAATACTGATGTAGTTGAAAATGAAGAGTTCGACAGTATTTATAGATTTTACATACTGTTAGTATGTATGGATTACCTGTTTTTAAATGCAACAATCAAAGAAGCACACCTATTCTTCTGATCTCACAGACCCACCTCCTCCCAGGCTGACAGTCAGTTGTACAGTAATCAGAGAAAGAGACTCAATTCAGCTGAGCTGTGAGACTCCTCCATCTGTCTCTTGTTCTCCCAAACTAACACAGCAGTTCATTCCCGATCGGTGGCCAATGTTCATTCGGGTCTTTCTGAGCAGGGATCGTTTGTTCGGTTCTACCCGAGCAGGGATCGTTCGGCTCTACCTGAGCAGGGTTCGTCTCTTCCACCCGAGCAGGGATCGTAAGTCGATGGCTGGTCTGGTGGTCGATGGCTGGTCTGGTGGTCGATGACTGGTTGGTAGTCGATGGCTGGTCTGGTAGTCGATGGCTGGTCTGGTAGTCGATGGCTGGTAGTCGATGGCTGGTCTGGTAGTCGATGGCTGGTCTGGTAGTCGATGGCTGGTCTGGTAGTCGATGGCTGGTCTGGTAGTCGATGGCTGGTCTGGTAGTCGATGGCTGGTCTGGTAGTCGATGGCTGGTCTGGTAGTCGATGGCTGGTCTGGTAGTCGATGGCTGGTCTGGTAGTCGATGGCTGGTCTGGTAGTCGATGGCTGGTCTGGTAGTCGATGGCTGGTCTGGTAGTCGATGGCTGGTCTGATAGTCGATGGCTGGTCTGGTAGTCGATGGCTGGTCTGGTGTTCAACGGCAGGTCGCCTACTGTCCCTCGCTCCGCACCAGCCCAGCTGCGTGGTAGAGTTGGGTTTAGCCTATCACAGCAGCGTCGGGCGTGTCCCCAGTGTCTGTAGTCGTGGGAGACACAAAACATACAATTAGAGCCAACAATTGGGGTCACAGTCACACGTTTGAAACAAGCACTTTCCTTTGGTAGTGCTATAGAGAGCGTTGTGATTTGTGTCTTTCCCACAGCAGGGGACCAGCGGAGAGGAGCAGTGAGTCGGTCGAGAGGTCACTGGTCCAGTTCCTTTTTAACTCTAGTTCTGGGGCGTGTTTAGTAATTAGTTTGGGGACGGAGGAGTTGATAGAGAATTGGCAACAGCTGTCTCAATGTCACTTTAGTCCATGCTAATCTGGACAGGACACCATACAAGCAGGCAAAATAGTCCATGCGATTCCATTTGATTTCACACGTGAGAATGTAAGGAATTAAGTGAAAGGCAATCGTTGTCAACACACAGCACACATGATTAAATGACACTAAACTAGAGCCTACCAATCTCTTTATATTACGTATCAGCATATCTTATTTGATATCATGCCCATTTATGAGTGCCATTTAATCAGTGTGCTGTGTGTTTACAACGATTGCCTTTCACTTAATTCCTTACATTCTCCCGTGTGAAATCAAATGGAATCACATGGACTATTTTGCCTGCTTGTGTTGAGTCAGTGTCACTTGTGATATATACATTAGATTCAAATAGAGTTAATGCAAAAAGGAGTCTCTATCCTTCCCCAACAGATCCAAAACCAGACATTAAGGTCCATTTTGATGAGTACTTCAACATCTACGGTTTGATTTCTGGATCTGTGAGTCCTGACACCACCTGTAACCTGTATGTTGGAGAGGAGAGTCAGCTGTTATTGACAGCAAAGATCTGGAAAGAAAAAACCAAAGCTTCCAAACAGTGGTTCTGTAAATTCAGTGTAACTGAGAGTGATCTGATCAGACGTCTACAGTCAGTGAGGCGTAAGGAGGTGAGCTGTGACTATAGAGTTAGCTCAGGACCAAACTCCAACTCGTCTCTCCCACACCTTTTTTTTAACCCAAAAATTTTTAAAATAATTTGCCCCAATTTTTTAAATAAACCTTTAAAAAACCCTTTTTTTCGTGATTTTTTTTCTTTTGGTTTTTTTGTGGTAATGTGAGTGTACTTCTTTTTTTCTGCTTATTGAATGACCTCAATTTAAAAAATTTACTTTTTTTTTTGTGTAATATGATCCCTTTCACCAGGTAGCCTCCCTTTGCCCCCAGCCGGCATTGAATCCAATCAGGTCTCTTATCATCATTATCTAGTTACAAAAAAAGAAAACAAATAGAAAGCTTCATTTCCTGGGTTTTTTTGTACTTTTTCCCCTCACAAATTTTCCTCATTAAAAAGAGGGTTTATATTTGGGTTTAAAAAACCCTTTTTTTTTTGTGTATAACCATTCAAGGGTTTTTGTGGGCCGGTGTTTTTTACCCCACCCCCCCCAAAAGGGAAAAATAATTTATTTCCCAAAATTTTTTTATTTTAAAAAATTTTTTTTTACAAAGTAAACCAGTTTTTAAAAATACCAATTTTCATAAGGGTTTAATTTAAACAAAAAATTTTCCCCTTTAAATTGTCAAATTTTAAAAAAATTTTGTTTTTCCTTCACCCCGGAAATCCTCCCAGGTTTTTCAACAAAAAAACGGGTACTTTTAGGCTTTTCTCCAAAGAAAAGGGCTTCCATTTTCTCAAAAATGTGGCCCAAAGGGGAATGTTTTCCCCCGGGCCGTCCCAAAAATTCCCCTTTGGGAGGGAATGGGGGTTTATCGGGGGCCTTTAGGTTAAGCATCTGTTTTAAGACCTGGCATTTTATTTGATAAAACATTTCAATTCCCGTAATTAAGGTTTTTTGGTTAGGAAAAAATTTGGAAATTCTTTTTTTTTAGCCCAATTTTTTTCAAAAAACCCATTTCAGATAAAAATTTTTTTTAAATTTTAAAATTTTCACTTAAAAAACAAAAAATAATGGTAAGATGGGGGGAAAAGGGGGAAAGGGGTTTTGCCGGGGGGAAATAGGAATTAAAGAATCAAGCCCTTTTAGACTTATTCTTTTTTGCTGTTCTCCAAAAAAGGGCAAAAAAAACACCCCTGAATGTACCATCAATGTACACATATCCCCCCCAAAACACCCCATCAAAAAACCCAATACCGTTCAAATTTTTTTAAAAAACCCCACTCTTAAAAATTTTTTTTTATTTTTTTTCTATTTTCACATTGTAGATAATGTGAAGAATCAAACTAGAAAAAAAACATATGGAAAAATTAGTAACCAAAAAAATGTTAAACAATCAAATAATTTTATATTTTTAATTTTCAAATAGCCCCCCTTTGCTTGAACAGCTTTGCACACCTTGCATTCTCTCACCAGCTTCATAGGGTCCCTGGAATCTTTTAATCAAAAGGTGTGCCTTTTTAAATTATTTGTGGAAATTTTTTTCCTTTTTAATGCTTTGAGCCAACATTGTGTTGTGACAAGGTAGTGGGTGGGTAACAAAAATGCCCAAAAACCCCCAAAAACCCCCCCCCCCCCCCCCCCCCAAAAAACCCCCCCCCCCCCCGCAAAACCAAAACCCCACCCCCCCCCCCCCAAAACCCCCCCCCCCCCACCCCAAAAACCCCCACCCCCCCCCCCCCCCCCCCCCCCCAAAACCCCCCCAAAACCCCCCCCCAAGCAAAACCCCCCCCCCCCCCCCCCCCCAAAAAACAGGGCCCCCCCCCCCCAAAAAAACCCCCCCCCCCCCCCCCCCCCCCCCCCCCGGGGCCCCCCCCGAAAAATTTTTTTTTTAAAAAACCAGCAATTAAAGAAAAGAAAAACCCAAAAACCCCTAAAAAAAAAGGGGGGTAAAAGCATTTATAAAACGTTTTCCAACATCACCCACCTAGGGGGACTTCAAAACCCCGACTTTTTGTTGACAAAAATTAACCCCCCAAAACCAAATTTAGAAAAAAGTTTTTAAGGGCCATTACGGAACACCCCCAATTGTCAAGGGGGGAAAGGGTTAAGGTTTGAGAAATTTTAAACCCCGGGGGTCTCGGGGGCCCAAAAAAAAAAATTAAAACCGACAAAAACACCCTGTTAAGGAACTTCCCCCCCAAATTTGGGCAAAAACCCAAACCAAAAGGGAAACCGAAAAATATTTTTTTGGGCCCAAAAAATTTATTTTCAAAACCCCCCCCCCAGTGGTAATTTTTAAAAACCATTTTTCCCCCACCCCACGGGTCAAAAAATTTTCCAAAATTTTTAGTATGAAAAAATTAAAAAAATTTCCCAAAATTGGAAAGTTTTTTTTAAAGAAGCCCAAAATTAAAAAACAGGTTTGAGAAGAACAGAGGGTCAAGAAAAGGCCCAAAAAATATATTAATTTACTCTGACATAAAGCAAATTTTTTTTTGGTTCATTTTATTTTTTGGAGCCAAAGAAAACCGCCCCATTTAACTTGACTGTTTGCCTTCCCCCAAACCTAAAGTGAAAAAGGGAATTTGGGGGTTTTCCTGCGGGAAGCTTCTCATTACCTCTTTAAAACCCATTCTCCCCAGCCCAAAACCCCATCCTCTTATAGTTGTAAAGTCGGGGATCTTGCAAATTGTGTTTTCCCCCTGTTTTGGCGGTAAACTTGTTAATTTCAAACTTGTTTTTAGCACTGTGCCATGCCCGTACGGGTTTTAAAAAAAATTGTCAAAATTTTTTTAAAAGGCACATTTACATAGTGACCCTTTTTTTGTTATTTCTAGATCCCCTTACAATTAATCAAAGCAACAAGGCAGTATATCTGGTCAAATAACTTGACGTGGTCAAATAACTCAAGCATAGATTGGGAACTTTTTTTCTAATTTTGCACACAGAAACTAGACGCCATGAGTAACTTGGTCAAAAAGAATGGTACCGATTGGCCTATAGGTGGCGCTGTTATAAGAAGACTCACTTACACCCTCAAATCTGCTGCCCCGTTTGACTTAGAGCAGGGGTGTCAAACATACGGCTGGTTTGAGTGGGGAAAAACGAACTCAATATACGGTGCATTCGGAAAGGATTCAGACCCCTTGACTTTTCCCACATTTTGTTACGTTACAGCCTTATTCTAAAATGGATTAAATTATTTTTTTCCCCCTCATCAATCTACACACAATACTCCATAATGACAAAGCGAAAACAGGTTCTTAGAATTTTTTGCAAATGTATTACAAATAAAAAACAGAAATACCTAATTTACATAAGTATGCAGACCCTTTGCTATTAGACTCGTAATTGAGCTCAGGTGCATCCTGTTTCCATTGACATTCCTTAAGATGTTTCTAAAACTTGATTGAGTCCACCTGTGGTAAATTCAATTGATTGGACGTGATTTGGAAATGCACACACCTGTCCCACAGTTGACAGTGCATGTCAGAACAAAAACCAAGCCATGAGATCTGGGGAAGGGTACCAAAAGATGTCTGCAGCATTGAAGGTCCCCAACAACACAGTGGCCTCCCTCAATCTTAAATGGAAGAAGTTTGGATCCACAAAGACTCTTCCTAGAGCTGGCTGCCCGACCAAACTGAGCAATCGGGGGAGAAGGGCCTTGGTCAAGGAGGTGACCAAGAACCCGATGGTCACTCTGACAGAGCTCCACAGTTCCTCTGTGGAGATGTGAGAACCTTCCAGAAGAACAACCATCTCTGCAGCACTCCACCAATCAGGCCTTTATGGTAGAGTGACCAGACGGAAGCCACTCCTCAGTAAAAGGCACATGACAGCCCACTTGGAGTTTTCCAAAGGCACCTAAAAGACTCTCAGACCATAAGAAACAAGATTTTCTGGTCTGATGAAACCAAGATTGAACTTTTGGGCCTGAATGTCAAGCGTCACGTCTGGAGGAAACCTGGCACCATCCCTACGGTGAAGCATGGTGATGGCAGCATCATGCTGTGGGGATGTTTTTCAGCGGCAGGGACTGGCAAACTAGTCAGGATCGAGGCAAAGATGAACAGAGCAAAGTACATAGAGATCCTTGATGAAAACCTTTTCCAGAGCGCTCAGGACCTCAGACTGGGGAGAAGATTCACCATCCAACAGGACAATGACCCTAAGCACACAGCTAAGACAACGCAGGAGTGGCTTCGGGACAAGTCTCTGAACGTCCTTGATTGGCCCAGCCAGAGCCCGGACTTGAAGCCGATCGAACATCTCTGGAGAGACCTGAAAATTGCTGTGCAGCGACGCTCCCCATCCAACCTGACAGATCTTGAGAGGATCTGCAGAGAAGAATGGGAGAAACTCCCCAAATACAGGTGTGCCAAGCTTGTACCATCATACCCAAGAAGACTCGAGGCTGTAATCGCTGCCAGAGGTGGTTCAACAAAGTACTGAATAAAGGGTGTGAATACTTATGTAAATGTCATATTTCCGTTATTATTTGTAATACATTTGCAAAGATTTCTAAAAACCAGTTTTTGCTTTGTCATTATGGGGTATTGTGTGTAGGTAGATTGGTGAGGGGGAAAAACATTTTAATCCAATTTAGAATAAGGCTGTAAAGTAACAAAATGTGGAAAAAGTCAAGGGGTCTGAATACTTTTCTGATTGCACTGTACTTTAAAATGACTAAAACCAAATCGAAACTTTAGAAATAATAATAGACCTACATTCATACAGTTTCCTGACTGTCTACCTTGCTTATAATCACCCAAATGAAAGCTAGACAGTCAGGGAGCCCAAAAAATTAAAAAAACGATGGATAGAAGACTATTTAGGGACATTTTTGATGGCAAGGAAATATAAATGATTGTCAGTGCGGTCCTCCAGACCTCGTTTATGACTGCAACCCCCGGGGCAACATTTGTTTAATACCCCTGACCTAGAGACTTGAAACTTTGTATGTAGGTGTCTTTCCTCATGCTGAACAAATTTGCCTCAAGGACAGGATAGATTTTCCTCCATCTTGGAAATCTTTTCAAACCTTTGAAAAATGTATTCTCAGG